AAAAACATTTAGAATAACATGGAATTGGTGACCTTCAGAAATACACAGGGCCTCCGACGCCATCGTTACGCCACTGGTTGTACTTGAGACTACCATACAAACAGAAGCATGGCTAAACATTTGTTACGCTTTTCAATCCCAATATTGTGGTTTAAAAGCACATTTTGGACAATAACAAACTCTCCCCGTAAACCTTATCATGGATTCTTTTATTCCAGGACCACGACCGAGGCTCTAGTCGGCTTCTTGGTTCGGGCACCTCCGTTGGACATGTCAGAACCCTCGTCGGAAAATTTATGGAGCCACAGCTGTCTAAAATGCGGAATTTCCTGAAAACCGGGAGATGAACCAAAATTCCTAGACTCCGAGGCAATCCTGTAGACTTAGCTAGCTCAAACCCTGCTTATTTCAATTAGAAATTTGGTTTTAAAAGCATTTGATAGTGTACATTACCCTGACCGAAGATATATTTTTAATTGTGAGCAGTGGTTGCACCAGGATTTGTCTACCCTGACAGCTATGTTGACCTTCACCGAAACTACAAAACCCAATGCAAAGTTTCCTTCACCACTGAAATGCATGGCCAAATTTGTTCTACCTCGGTTGACATTTTCTCCACCCTTGCAAAAAATTTACCCATACAGTACTTTAGAGAATGTTCTCAAGCAGTAGAGAAATTCCCTATACCTCTGGGAAAATTCCCCACGATTATTGAAATTGTCCCACCCCATGGGAAAATTCTCTTCATTTGGTGACATAAAATCGACATTTATGATAATTCTGTTTTTGGCAGAACTGTAATTAGGGTTACTTTCACGTAAAATGAATGAACAACACAAGTACTGATACCAGACATCTTTGTTGTTGGTGTATATTTCATTGAAAACGAGATTAGATAACTAAAAAAATATCTGATCCCACGATTGCTCGAGGTACTGTATACCAGAATTACTATCCCGCATATTAACATTTCGGGTTGAGTGGCCTACCATTATTATTCACATGATTTTGTTATTGTCGAACCGATTTATGACAGAAGCTGGCAAATCGATGTCCATTGATTGAATATGAATTCTCAGAAATATGTACGTGCTTGGAAATTCCCAGCTTATAAAAGTATTCTGACTCGGACTGAGAGGAGCGATTGAATGTGAACTGACAATTATGTAACTACAATAAATAGATGTTATTGGATGAATTGTATTGCTTTTTTTTTTGCAATCTTTGTAATATTTTTAATTTTATTGTAGATCATTAACATCATCAGCCTGTCAAACCACTGCTGTCCGGTACTTATCGAACCCCATTCTGGTTTATTCTTTGCCAGATTTGCCCAGATTACTCTAAGCTCTTTTTGGAAAATATTATTTCAGTTCTTATTTGGCTTTCCGTATGCCGTCCATACATACATTGTAATAAGTTGTTTTAATTATCCTTTTCCATTTTTTTAAATTTTGCAATCGCAACACAGCACTATATGAAAGTAACCCTCAGGATTAAATCTTAAGTTTGTATACTGAAGTTATAATATAGCTATATAATATTTTTACATACACATTCAGCAGGGGTGAAAATTGATTTGTTTTGCACTAAATTTTCGAGAAACTAAACTCTGTGTAAATTATATAAAAACTGTGATTTAGATTCTACATGGGATTTTTTTTTTCCTAGTTTCGCATTTACTGGACATCTACTACTAGATTATGTAGGCCCTATTAGCTTTCAGAAAATCAAACATCTACTCTTCCTCTTAGAAATGCTCCTACTAATCAAAAAATTATGTCCAGATGGGATAAGTTCACACTTATCGATACAATGTCTCATCATTTATTATGTGAACACCATGACATTTGTTGCTGTAGCAAAGAAAGACTTAAGGAGTGATCTATACAATATTCCACAAACTCTGTTATTGTTATGGACATCGTAGGCTCGCGTACATTCACGAAAATAAGGAAAATAGACATTGTTACGTATTTATTAGTTTGTTTATTTCATAACATCCAGCTACACGCACAACATTATTTATAAGCGCGTTTAATAATATACAGTATTTCTGTACAGTGTAACATTTATCTCTTTGAGATTGGTCATGTTATACTTCTCAATATACAGTAATAGTATAGGTCTACCATGGCTTCATCACTTTCTATTTCCCTTCGACTTAATATCGTCTGGCCAATAAAAAGGCAACACTATCAAGCTCAAATGAATACCGTAGGTGAAACGACCGACTAAAGTAAAAATAAAACGACAGTGGAAATATTTGCATAAATATACCTGAAGTGTATGGTCTTAGCATTTGCATTGTTGGCATATATTTCTACAGTACAGTGTTTAACTGGAATAAAAGCAATATTAGTATATAAATAGCAATACCTTATCACTTCAGTTCGTTAAAATATGAATTTACATGTAGGCCAAAGTCGGCCATTAAATTACATCATTGCGCTACGTAGACACGTGCGAACGCAAACATGACGACGCACTTGTAAGTTTAGACTTAACAACAGCATGTACAATTTGGACAAATAATTTCAGAGGATCCATAATCTAATATTCATTAAATCAAAGGTAATGTCAAAACAATTCGCATTTTTTTAAGCTACTCTTTCGTTTGAGTTACTTAAATTTGGCAGTAATTTTCACACTTGTTATAGTTTTATAAATAAACACGAAAATGGAATAGTTAATTTATTCAACCAATACTTTGAGAGTTACTTCCTTCTACAGGTAATACTATGTACATTACTGGTACAGGTAAGAGAGGTAATCATTATCCCCTCGACATGTACACTATTGCTATAGTGTTGTATTGTATGCTTTTACAAACGCAAAACTTGCGTGTAAATTGGCAATATTATAGTAGAAATTTATAATATACATTTGATTTAATCTCCTTCCATCCTCTGACACAGAACCTTAGACTTGCCACAAGTCTCTTATTTTTTTATTATTTTTCTCATAACTAGAAAGTTAATTTACAGACGGAAAAAAGAAATCGAGTATGGGACGCCAATTAAATTAGGTATGGCGCGCACTAAGTGCAATAAAGAGTGAGTAACCCAAAATTAGGGCCTGGAACCCAATCTAACACAGAACCCTGTATTTTTCATCTTTTGTTTCCCAGCCTGTCATTCTATATATTGTATTCTATATATGAGCCTCCTTGCACTGATCATATTGTTCTCACCATCCACTAATTAAATACAGAAATTTGCATGCAATGTGTATGTATATAAGTGTAAGAGTCCTTTTACGGAACCCTGACAGAATCAGGCTCTCAAAAAGAATTGGCTGAATAAATTATGTTACAAGTAGTCAACTTTGTTGTATTGATTATCATCCTCAATTTGGAAGCATGAGGAACTGAACATGCAAGATTAGGACAATGGAGAATTGAAAACAACCTCACCTTGATACCTAGTATTTAAAGCCCTGTTCAGACTATCAAAAAACATGTGATATGCCTAAATATGGTTATGAGGACATCACAGTTTTATATAGTTTGGACAGAGGTTTAGAATATGGCAGGATAATTACTATTAGCACCATGTGTGAAAACTTATATTCACAGCTGCTCAGAACCATGTTAGATAAAAACAATAACCACAGCACACAAACCTTTGAGCAGGAACAAAATAATAGAGGGCGCACTGCAATATAACCATAGCAATTACAGTATAGTACAATTATACCAGTGACTATTGGTGGTCAAAACAATAGAGGGCGCACTGCAATATAACCTTAGCAATTATAGTACAATACCACAGTGACTATTGGTGGTCAAATGAGGCATGTTGTGGCAAAATGGCTAAGTTGTAGCAAAAAATGAAATTCAAGTTATTGGTATTTTCAGATACCTGAGTATGTGATCTTTAAAATGAGTGGTCATTCATTCACATAGAACATTTCAAGCCTAAGTTATTGGAAAGTGAAAGTACAGCACTCTTAGAGTCAAGATAAACATGATTTTGAGTACAGTAATTGCTTTTCAAAGTTATTTGTGCATACATTGTTTAATAGAATAAACTATCAAAATAACGTTAAATAAACAATTTGTTAACCACTTCCAGAACTAATACTTTGGGACATGATTAATAAGACACTAAACTGTTGATCCTGATAGTGAAAACAAATTTGGATTTTTAGGCAATTTTTTTAGCTCCCATTTTTTTTATAGCTCATTTACTCAATACTGGCCTGTGCGACAACTTAACCATTTCGCCACGACGTGCTCAAATATTTAAGACTTATTTCAACCTAAAGCTTTACATTAAAATGATAAATAACACAGACTTAAATATTTGTTTAAATAAATAAATATATGTTTACATAAAATATAGCATGTAAACCAAAAGAATTACATTATATAATGAAGAAAATAATATATACAATGTATATGATATATAATTATTACTATATTTTTTGTATATATATTATGTATACACATAGATCTTTATTACATAATAATATATTATTGTATTGATCAGCAATGTGCTGTAAAAATGGGATTTTATTATTGTTTAATCACTATCATTATTATATTGTTTTTTTTTAGATGTAGTCAAAGAAGCCCTATTTTTTATGGTATATTCCTTAAACAAAAATGTATTATTATTATTATTATTATTATTATTTTTATTATTTTTAAAATTAAAATGATAAAATCTAAGTCCATTTTGCATTACAACATACCAAGCAATGCATGAGGCACCACAAATATTACGTCCGCACTAAATCCACCGCCAGCAAAAATTTCAAACAAGACTCAACCGAAAAACTCACCTACTTTCAACACACAGAACAATCACTTCTAAATACAAAGAACTCTCCAGCCTATCAAATTTTATTGACATGTCTAAATATGGTTATGACATCACATCATGACCATATATAGGCACATCATGACTATATATGGGCATACAACAGTTTTTTGTCAAAGAAAATTTGAGAGTGTGGACAGAGCTTTACATGCTCTTAAGTCCTGTCCAGACTACAGAATTTTATTTGAAAAAACATGTGATAGTACTTGTCTAAATATGGTCATGATGACATCACATCATGACTATATATAGGCACATCATGACTATATAAGGCCATACAACATAGAATTTGATAGTGTGGCGATTGATTCCCTAATAACAAACAACAATTCACTTTTTCTACGTGTACTTATTCTAAGATTGATTTTTATTTCTAATATTGATTTATTTCAAGTAATTCTACATTTATTCTGGTGTTCTACCAGGCATAAATAGGTTCTTCCAATTCACTTTGATCGTTTAGGGCTATCAGGGAAAGTGGACGAAAGTGGGGTTAGACTTGTGAGAAGGATGTGCCGGTCATATTGCTTACTCTTGCGGAACAGGATGTCCGTGCCGTGCAGGCGGTCCAAGATGCCTAGAGTGCCGAAACAGTTGGTGAATCTGTAATACAATGAAGTAATTATTGGGTATTAACGATTAACTTTTATGTATTTTCTTTAATGACAAATAAGAATAGTGAATACATTCTTTCAGTTTTTCTTTCAATCAATCAACCAATCAGTCAGTCAACAAACAGGGACTTATAAATAACCAACATCAACAGCAGAATGTAATGTTCAATGGCGCTATGACATTGGTATTTTTTTTAAGTGCACTTAATGAGATAAGTCAGAAGAATTACAGTTACATAACACTGTTGATATTAATAATTAAATTTTAAAAATTCGATTAAGTATGGTACCTGAATAAATATATTTAAACATTTTTTACAATGACCACAGTGGTAAAAATGTTTTAAGTTGATTGTATTTTGTCTATTGTGAACAAAACAAACAAAATTCAATCTGGGACAGTTTGAAAGACAAGAGAACATGTAACTTTCATCACTCACTTTAAATGGTGGAAATCATGTGCCTCAGGCGATGGGAAAAACGGCAAGTGGTAGCCGCAATGAGCGTTGACCGCAGAAGAGATGACCATAACGAACCACATCCATATAGTAGCGATGTGCGAGCCCATGATGATAGGACCAAGAGTTGCTGGTATGAGGCTGGAGAGAACGTGTTCTACTGGATGAGCGTAGATTGCAGTCAGACCAATTGGGGAAGTCCACTCGTGGTGAAGCTTATGGATATGTTTATAAAACATAGGATGGTGAAGCATTCTGTCAAAAGAGAAATTAAAACATCTGCATAATTAAGCATACTGTACACCATTTTATGGGGTCTAATTTGAAACAGCGCCACCAAAGTCTTGCAACTTTCCACTCGGGGACATCCAGCAGACAAGTCTGAGCAAATTTCGTTTTTCCAGACATGTCTTCCTTTGTGTATGACAACCAAAAACACTGCAGGTTTTATGGGACCCTAATTTTTTTTTTGTTCTGGAATTTAGCTTTGGTGCTTTGAAATTGTTGATTCCTGAATTAAGGAGTGTTCAGTAAAATGAGGTGTAGTTATGTGTTTAAAAATGAGGTTAAATTAATAATTGAAAGCTAATAATTTATTTAAATGTAGATAAGTAGGAAATTGATTTTCTTTTTCTAGGATTTTTAGCTCATTGGAGATGGTATATTTTTAAAAGAATTATTTTCATTTTCACCTGTGAGAGTAATAGAACCCAATTTCTTCGAAAATAAGAAAGACAGCCAGTTCTACGAGAACCCAATGGACTGTGGGTAATTCTCTGAGAATGCAGTCTCCACGCCACTGCACTATCGGCATACATAGCAACGAGTACATAGAGGTCACTACGAACTGATTGAACAGTACAACTTTCAATGCCTTCATTAGTTGCGGCCTACTCACCTAGAGGAAAAAACAATGATGTAAATCATAATAATTTACAGTGATAAATCTATTAAGGGGTCATTTTGTAATTGGAGTTGAACAGCTAGGTGGTTGGATGGATGGATGAATTTATTTCTGTGTATACACCAAGAACAGCCCATGAAAGTCTAAAGTAGACTTATTTCCAGTGGGGTCGTCCTGGTGGTGATTTGCAGTACACTACGAGACAATCCCCTACTCTTTTCAGAAGAGTGTATTACATTCATTAATGTGCACATGTTCAGTTTAGCTGACTGAGATAACCAAACTGCTCTCTTTGGTTAAAATGCTTGCTTTCCAATCTCATGATCCTAAGTTCAAAATATTAGGATTTTTTTTCCATGACCAAATCTCCACTCCCTACCCTCATAATGAGACTTAAAATACACAGAGCATCCATGTTTATCTTACAACAAGATATGCCACTTAAGAATAATGATAAGTTCATTATTTGGCATATCCTTGACGTTTTGAGTGAGGCAACCCCCTCCCCCACACCTCCAAAAAAAAAAAAAATTATTATAATACAATAACAATAATACAATTTATAAAAATACAATAACAGTAATAAAAATTAAGGTTTTATATGTTTTATCACTTACTGGATCATTTTTTCCTTCTTGAATTTTATAGCGTCTCAAGAAGGCTGGTCTGCCGGTTATGTCCATGAATAAGAAGAAGGCATTCAGAGCCCAAAAGGTTATACAAGCCACTAGGTTGGTTCCTGAACAAGAAAACACAGGTTAACATCAATCATTAGCTATCATTTATCACACTTAGTTAGGAAGGAGATGAGATGGAGTGAGAAATACAGTAGAAGCATAGCTGTAGAAAATTAAGGGGGTGGGTGATAACACTGGTAAACTCTAAGTAATAAGAGTGAAGAGTGGATGTTGAAGATGGGCAAGGGGTTAATAAAGGTGGGTGGACGGTCATTAAATTAGCTTTAGACTGGGTAGAATTTCTTTAAGGTTGGATGGCTCTGCCCACCATAACTACATCACTGCATGTTCCTTTCCTATTTTTCAGCGTCAATTTTCTTACAGTACCAAAAAGTATTCCAAAACTTTTAGCTCCAACTTTGTGCTCTAAATATGCATCATAACTCCTTGTAATATGGGTGGATAGTGCTAAGACTTGTTCTTATTTTTATTTATATTATATTAATATCTCCTATTATTTCTCCTTTTTATCTCACTTTTTTAATTACTCAATTGATTATGTCAATTAAAAAATATGGTTAAATGGTTATGGTTAAATGCAAAATTATTTCTTTCTCATTCAACAGCAAGTGACCTGCATGCCACTCAACAAGGGGAAAGAAGCATGTGGCGCAATGCATAAGGCATCGGGCGTTCAATCGAACGGTAGGGGGTTCGAGACCGGTGCTTATCTCACTACTTAGACAAGACACTTTATCTGCATTTGCCACTCTTCATCCAGGAGTATAAATGGGTACCTGGTAGGAGGTGAATGATTTGGAATGAAATTATTAGTGCTGATTACACGCATAACTAGGAATACTCCCCAGGGAGCTGAGGAAGTTGCATGTTGTGTATGATCCAATGACCAGGGAAAATTGTGCCTTGGGAAGTTCTTCCATAATTGGGAATGTGCGCTATATAAACCTTATAAAATAATAATAAAGAATAACATATTGTAGTTGTGTCTACACAAAAAAATTACGAAAGATTTTTCTTCTTTCTTACCAATAAAGCCTATAATGAATGCATCCCCTTCAAAGTAGTCAAACACCTTGACCCACAGAGCTTGCCAGAAGTCACCAGATGCTCCCCAGCACTTCTGCAGATGCCACGTCAGGGTGTTCCTGATGGCAGCAAAGATTATGATCACACCGCCAAGGATGAAGAAGGACTTGTGTATAGATTGTTTAACACGATTTTTCTTTAAAAGATATCAAAAATACATTAAAAACTAAAAATTTACAGAAATAATTGTTTCATGTATTGTACATAAGAAAGTAGTAATACAGGTCTCCGTCCAATTAAATACAACTTCTAGGCCCAGGATTTCCATGGCCTTCATAACAACTTTGTTCTCTAATTAGTATAATAATGATAAAAGACATAATTTGGGATCACAGAAGAGTGGTCATTAGGCCAAATAAAAAACTTTTTTGTACGAAATTGAGGTTCAGCATTTTATTTTATTTTTTTAACTACAACAAAAATGTTTTTAATGAGCTAAAAAGGCTGGAATAGGCCTATCTTGCTGGACAGTAGGAAATGCGATCATTTTGCTTTTCAATATACACTTAAAAGTATTCTTTGTTGTATTTTTTGTATATTTTCTACTTTAGGTATAAACACATAATTGGTTTTTAAAAAAAACAACTTTTCCTACTGACCTACCCATTTTTTATTATTTTCCTAAAATGTGGCCAACACAAGAATTTTTTTCTTTTTTGTCTTAATTGGAGGGGTCTTTAATTAAAGGGAGACCTTCCATAACATTTCAGTAAATTAAATGTGAATTAAAAGTTAAATTAAAACATTCAGTCTAAAATAAATAATTATATTCAACCTTCAGGACAAATATATTGCAAAACTAAAAATTGTCTGAAACAGTTTATCAGATGAATATGTGGATTCGCAGATAATTAATAAATTTAAATCAAGGCTGAAAGGACACTGGAAAATCACCACTAGAAGTTTAAACCGTATGTAAGAGACTCAGACAGAGGGGTGAATAAGCATTGATGCTTTAGCTTCAAGATTATAAGGTAATACACTTGTCAATTGTAGCCCAAATTTCCATGGAAAGCTGCCTAGTGATGCGTAGTGCTTTCATCAAGCAAGCTCATCTCCTTGGCCTAGCTCCTGCCTAGCTTTCATATGCTACTTCAATTTAGACATAGCTAGCTAAACCTTCAAGCATCCTATCCTTTATTTGCGGGGTATTTTACCGGGACTACGAAATATTTCCCGGCGGTAGGTGGGGGGGACTTAGTCGGAGATGTACGTTAAAACGATGCCCTGCATTGCCAGGAAGTGGCCATGACTTTCACATGATGTAACCGTTTCGGAAATTCCATCCCCGGCTAAGTCCCCGCTAAGCCTGGGTCCAGGGGAGGCTGGGAATACAATTGACAAGTGCATAAATCATATGAATGAGATAACTGGTGTTCATGTTATGAACAGCCTATTATTACTCAAGTCCTTGATTTGTTGACTGCTGATTTTGGTCTTGTGCCAAACCTACAGTAAATATTTCAAATACCACAACTTCATTCATAAAATAGTGCACTCTATGAGGACGTAATTCAAAGAACCAAACGAAGTGAAATGATTTCTGTGGTTGAGTGCACAAACATTTTACAGAGCTATTCCTAGAATATAAAACAAATAAACTATTTTACACACCTTTGGTTCTTTGGCTTCGATTTCAGTACTTTCATTGTCGTCTACGATTGGGTGGCAACAAGGTTCATCTTCAACTACGTGGCATGAATCACCACTCATCAGTGAAGCCATACTGTACCTAGCAGATGTGACACGGAGATCATTTGAATTAATAAAGATGAAATAATTAATATAAACATTTTATAAAATCAGATAATAATAACAATGATTAAATGTTGACCCATAATGAAAGCATACTCTGTTGCAGCAGTGTTGGATTTGGTAGGGGTGGCCTGTACTCGAGGGAAATATTCATTACAGTGGAAAAAGGTTGTTCAGCAAGGAATATGTGCTCGATTGGATTGGATGTATTCGGTGTAAACACCAAGGATAGCCCACAAAAGTCTAAAAGAAGACTTATTTCCAGTGGGGTCCTTCTGGTGGTGATTGGGCAGTACACCGGGAGACAATCCCATACTCTTTTTCGAAGAGTGTACTGTACCTTGGTCTTTAATGCTCACATGGGACCAACGGCTTAAACGTCTCATCCGAAAGACGATACGCTATTGTAACTTGTATTATAGCCCTCCAGCTGAAACAAAAGAGAGGCAGCGATGGGAATTGGACCGGGGACCTAGAGATCTCCAAGGTTCAGCTCACACGCAATAGCTACCACCAGATTAGCCGACTGAGCTAAGCTGCTCTCTATGTGCTATAGAAGTAACAAGTAATTATAATAAATTAAATAAATTGTACTATATATAATAAATATAAATTAATCTGGTTTATGTATAAAAATAGACGATAGGCTACAGTACATCATTTTTGTTTGGCATTACAGTTACTGTAGTATACTAAATTTAAAATAAATGTCTATATAAAATAATAATAGCAGATATCCCTAATTATTAATATAATATGATAAATATTACGCCGTGGCTAGGGATATGGTACAGAATCTTATCTTCCATTTTCTATGGTAAACTGCATCATCCAATAAAATGTCGCCGATGGTGTGGTCATTGTTCATAAAGACTCGTGAAATTGCTCGCTGAATGCAGAGGAAGTTGGAAAGCAACAATGCTGTAAGTACTTTGTCTTTAATATGAATTAATTCTATTACAGATTTCAATTATGGACTTGTTTTGTGCTCCGTGAATTCGACATTGTCTTCTGTCGCTTATACAACTCGGCAGGAAAGCTGGCTCACAGCAAGCAATTTTTTTAACAATGTCATCACGCCAGTGGCAACATTTTATTGGATAATGCAATTTATTCACCGTACGTTTAGCAAACGGAAGTTCAGATATGGTACCGTCTCTAGCTACGGTGTCAAAGTAGGCCTACAACTAGACTAGGCCTAACAGAATAGTAGTAGTAGTATTATAATAAATAAATAAATAAAAAATAGGCCTAGACTAAATAAATTAAAATTTTAATTAAAAATATTGTTTAAGGCCTAGGCCCCTAGGCCTAATTAATTAGAAACAGACAAAAATGAATTGGAAATCTACACATTTTGAGTTGTGTATAAATAATCAAACTGTACAAGCCCACAACGCTTTATAAATTGCATTAATCATTACTCTCTATGCCTAGGCCTAATCTAGCTCTTGCTAGGCCTAGCCTACGGCCCTAGCCTATTAGTTATTAGGCCTAGCTAGAGGCACCCAAGGCTGGGCCTAAAAACTAAGGCCTAGCTAGGCCTACACCTACGTCCTAGGCTAGGGCCTAGTCCTAGCTCTATCAGCCATTAAAACCAAAATTCCTTTTCTGAACGCATGCTTTACCTTTAACTGCTGATTTAAATAATTATATTCAAAGCCTGAATCTGTTATAAATGTAAAGTCGCTACCACCTCAAAGTTTAATAACAAATAAATGAAGGGGAAATTGACAACAACGCAACTAGGCATAGGCCTATGACGTCTATTTAGTATTATGACGATGATTCAACATCACTTACGCGTGATGAATATATAAATAAACAATACTCTTCCTAACCAACTGCGCATGTGTATGTGGTCAACACCGCCCTCCATTTTTTAAAAGTTACAGTATATCATTGGTTATTTATGATGGCTCTCAGCCAAATAATACTCAATTAAATTATAATAAATAATTGTAACAATTAAATATAGCGCATTATTCTACAACCGTGATAAGATAAAACGTTTTAGATTGTTTAACAGCAATTGGAGAGAAACTTTAATTTTAAATTAAATGTGGCGATGTCACTCCTCCCCCTCCACATTCAGTTGCGGCGCCTGGATTTCCACCGGCGTGTGTGGTCCAAGGTTCCCGACGAGAAAAAAATAGTGGGCGTGGTCGGGCGTCGATAAAAAAAAAACTTGTCAGAAGTGGTCCAGAGGGCGAAGTCCCCAAAAATATGACAATTTAGGGGTTGGAAATGCTTTAATCGATTTTAGGCCTATAGAGTCTATTAATATGTAAAAAATACATAATTTTTTTTCTCCCCGACGAACTGCGGTGGAATGCCTCTGGGGGAAGGGTGCTGCTCCCATTAAAAGTCTTCGAACAAAAAAATCACGCACAAGCAGTTAACCTCAAACCTTATTTTCGGAGAATACTCCCATAGTAAATCATCGACACCCCCTGAATTCACCTTCACGCTTCCCCTCATATATACCAAGACTTCTCTAGAGATGCCACTTTACATGTATAAAGAATTTCCTTCATAAAAATTATTAATTGAAAGATATCGTTATCGTTCTTTTTAAACAAATTTTTATTCTTTATAGGCCTTAATGTTTTCATGTTTCAACTATTTTACTATTATACATATATATATATATATATATATATATGTAAATATATTATGATTTCTATAATGATTCCGGAGTCATCGATCAAAACGTGTTAATTGATAGCCTGGACATTTTTTTTTAAATAATGTACTATACTTATTTTTTAATTTTAAGTTCTGACACTATCAAATTTTATGTGACAAAGAATGTGATGTGCCCATATATGGGCATATATCATATGATTTCTAATTATTTTTAATGTCGTCTGTCCATTTGTTGTCAATTTTCTTAGGAAACACCTTTTGACCATAAGCAAACACTACCGTATTACACCAACCAATCGGATAATTCATTTTATCTACAGGCATCATATTTTTGAGACAGTTTCATGTATTTTGATGATATTGTTCCATCAAATTTTATGTGACGCTTTTTTGATTATGTAATTCTGACATAATTTTCCTATAAAAGTCTCCGTTGATGCAATTCTTTCGTCACACCATGACACGTTCTATAGCAGAAGAAGGAAGAGTGGCAGCGGTGTACTGACAGACAAATTATGGGTATTATCGAAATTGAGGAACATACAATTTCCAATTATAGCAGACCTTCTCGCTTCCCTCATTTCAATTTATTTATTTCATCCCTTCATTTATTTGGTTAAAGTCCAAATACAAATCACGGAAACCTCATATGTAAAATTAAAAAGTTTAAACAGATGTCGCAAAATTGCATAAAATTAAAACAATTTAGAACAAGTGTACATTGAATAAAAGTGTAAATATAATGTAAAAAAAAGTTTTAAAACTATCTAAACATTTTTTATAAATGTTTGAATTAAATAAAAAAATAAAAATGTTCGCATATACTGTTCTTGAAATTTTGTAAGAAGTAGGTGAAAAAAAATATTTATGTAGAGGGCGGCATTGCTGCATCATGAAAATAAAGATGGTGATTTGATCGGCAGAATTTGAGGAAGCAAAGCAAAACTAAGGTAAGAAAATGACAGGTTAACCGTTGTTACTCTTACTTAATCACTTGATTAACGTATATGACACTCATATTGAAGTTATAGTAGTGATAGGTTAACATTTATGCTGTGCTTGTAAGCAGTGCTTCTAACAATTTACCTAGCTAGGCCTAGCCTAGAGTTAGTTAAGTAGTGGCCTAGGCCCTAGGCCTATATACAGCAGCGAGAGAGGCCTAGGCCTAGGTTAGGAGAGACAACCCTAGCCCTAGCTAGCTAGGCAAAGATAATCTGTGTGTGTGTGATAACCTTGACTAGTACCACTTTAGACTACTACTGTATTCTGTAGGCTGGGGCAAGCTAAGTTAGTTAGCTAGGCTAAACCCCGGTGTTTTGTATAATGAAATGGTGTAGGTAGGCCCTGTAGCCTACCTTGGCTAGGCAAACTGTCTGTAGGCCTAGCTAGGCCCTAGGTCACTCACAGCACAGGTGTTTTGGCAGTGATTAATACAACTAGGAATTATAATATGAAATTTACAGTAAAACTTTGACACTCTGAAAAGCAAAAAAACATGATTTATTTATACCAATTCTACAAGGGAAACCTAAGCCAGGATTAATTAATAACCAGACCTGGAAAAACAATGTTTGTGCCTCCAACTATGAATATTGTCTCAATAAAATTCCTCCAGCATCAAATGTTATATGTAAACTCTAAATAGCCCTACAGTTTTTTTTTTTCTTCTTTTTCCAAAAATACCTCCAGGACATTCATGATACCGCCGGTCGCGTGGTCGCACACTTTTTCCAGCCCTGGGTATAACATACAAGAAGCAAACGTAATTCTAATAATTATATCTATGATAAACTTATTATTTGTAAAGTAAGGATAGGCATAGTGTCGGCTTCTAGGCCTACTTTTTTTTTTTGCAATAAGACAAAATTCACTGAATTTTCTGCATATTAATCGTAGCTGGACTGGTTCTCGGCTAAAGCTACAGTACATCTACACTCAACACGATAACAACAACATACAGTATCATCGCCTTGTTTATATTCTTTGACGCTGCGCACATTTTTATTATTTTATTGTCGTGTACTGTAGTTATCGTGTCTAGCGTAAATGTAGCTTTAAACGAATGGTATTTGGTTAGGCTACGGTAGGTCACAGTACATAAAACATTTCATTTCTTATTATTATGTTATTATTAATTACTACAGGATATTTAAATTTCCATGTAAATTATACTAGTGAAGAGGGGGTATTTAGAATTGTAGGGCCTATTCTCCTTAATCATATTTTTTCGTCAAGTTGTGCTACATGTTATACAGTAATAAATTAAAAATTCATTCCCTCCTCCCATTCTTGAGAGCCTCAAATAAAGCTATTGGTTGAATTTGTGTACCACTTTATTTTTTGGTGCATGATTGTCTGTCTGTGTCTGTTATTGTGTTCCCGCACAAAAATTAAATCTGCTTAATACTAATACTAGACATTGTACAGTAGTTAATGCTGTCCATGCTGTCAAGTTTTATGTGATGAATATGTGTACTGCCCATATATGGACATGATAATGTCATATTACACCCAAATATGGGCATATCACGTTTGTCACATAAAATTTGGTAGAGTGGACAAAGCTATAGTATGCTATAAGCAGTCAACTGTAATCAGCTGAAAGGTCATTCTAAAGGTGAAAGGTCAATTGAAAAGTTTAATATCATTTGTAATGCACTTGGCGTCTGCAGAGAAGGCAATTGAAACCGATACACACTATTAACTATTTGTTTAGACTGAAAAGCTCTTAATACAATTAACAGCTATTCTTAGTAATCATTTCTTGTAATAATCTGCCATATATTTGACACCAAAATCTTGCACAGTAACAAAAACTTTATGACCCTCTTCTGTACTGTATATATTAGCTATCGACTTGTCTTGATTTACATTCGTGTGTCTCCTTTTGTTTCTCAATTGTTAAGGCAGAACACTGCACAGTACATAGTCTAAGACATTTTCAGACAGAGGTTCTTATCAATATATTGCGGTAATAATAACAGAGTACACTTTACCGACATGGACCATCCAATACCAGCCAAAGTACTGCGGTAATATTAGAGAAATTTTGCAATCAAAAACGATAACAAACACATTATTATCATTATCATCGTTTGTGCCTAAAACACTATTGACAATATACTACATTGTGACAGATTCTGTATGCTACAGTACTGTAGGGGAAGGGTTGTCGAAAAATTTGATGATGTAGCCGTATTCCTGATGATGACATAATTAATGTTGAAATATTGAATCCCAACACGATGGCGTGTATTTCAATACTTGGAGTATGTATTATACTTTCTTAGCCGTATTCTTTATCGTTTTTGTAAGCTTGCGAAAACTCCATATTGCCGTAATACCGTATAACAACTTTCTGATTATTTTGTATTAATTAATGGATTATGCATTCTGAGAGAGCCATTGGTTTAAATCTTTTTATTTTAGTCATCACAGATTGTGGGCTTGTTTTATTGTTTGTCTCTAGAAAATTTCTGATAAGTATTGGAGTAATATTGTGGGAATGTGACCTGCTTTAGTTTCAGAAACGCTCCAAAACGCACCACAGCAGGAATATTGTGTTAATAGGTCAGAGTTAAAACGCCCTATAACCCCAATATTGCAGCTGTGGTATTTCTGACCTTTCCATACCGAAGGCATTGTGAGAATATTTCCGCAATGTTGCGGAACTGTCTAAAATTGGCTTTTGTCTGATGATGGGGTCAGTTTTCACAGTTTCATGCAGTTGAAGTAGGCTAGGCATATGTCTGAAGACTTCAAAAGGGGCAATACTATTTCAGGTCACACTCACAACCTTGTAATTCCTAGCCCCAAAATCTAGACTCAGAAATACCAGGTTGGTGTCCAGCGAAAAGGGATGTTTTCCACCATTGATTAAGATTTAATTTAGCGTCTAGAGGGATCTGGATCTAAAGCTTTACATTAAAATTATTTCTTTTATTATTAATACATGCAGAACACTGTTATTGATACAGACAGAGATGGGTTTCGAGGCCCCCCGGAAAGGCTGGTACTTAAAAATTGGGCATAAAGTAGGGGATAGGCTTATGCTGTATATGAGGAACTACAGTAGTAAAGGAAAAAAAAAAGTGATATTAAAGTGATAGTGTAAATTGTGTTTTCTTGATCCTCTTTACAGAAATGGGTCAAACTTTATCGGAGCCAGTGACAGCGAAGGAAACCTCATCATGTGAAAATCGAGACTTCAAAGTGGGCTCGTCCTGCATGCAGGGATGGCGTATCAGTATCCTTTATCTCTAATACAGTGCTTGAAAGTCTTATAAAAGGCCTGTGAAAATGCCTTTCTCACCATGTACAGTACTTGCAGGGGGAACAGGACCTCAGTCATGGAACCCCTGTTCCTTGCATGTGATAAGTAGCCAATTGTTTTGTCTTGACAATATGTCATTTCCGGGAATTTTAAAGAGTATCTATTCTTGAAATTTGCTCACATTAGACCCAACCATGTTTGTTGTTAACCCCTAACCTTTCCTGTTGAGAGTCTTTGACCCCTTGGCAGGGAACTTTGACCCCTTGGCAGATTTTGCATTACCATGCAGCAATTTCCTCCTCTCTTCCTGTGAAGATCTTCCCCGTCCCCTTGTTGGGGAACCTCTGGTACAATGGTCACTGCATCACTACAGTACATTAGCTAGCCAATTGCACACACTGGATCAGCTCATATGCTCGATCCTTCATAGTTCCATCTTCTTCCATCTTTCTTTTACAGCATCACATATCACACACCGTCACCGTTGAATCATCAGTGACGTATTCATTTGCCATGCTAATGTCATTCAGCTGTGGAAGATCCGAGAAAGCTGATTGAAAAGTGATTTTCACTGGCTTAACAATAATTAATGGACATTTATATTAAAACTTAATTGTAAATTTATGTTGTTGGTGGTTTAATTAGTGTATCTACTGTAATTGACATTGAGTGAACTAAGGGGACGAAGGTGGAAGTTTATGTTAGGAGTGTGATAAGCAATTGAAAAGATTTGTCAGCAAAATTTGGTGATTTTTGAGTGCAATTTTCATTGCTCTGCAAATTTCCATGGGAACGCAAGCTTCTACATACCCTCCCCCACCCCCAGAATCGTCGCTGGTTACTGCTATCAGGATTAAGACAGCACCATAATAATTAAATTTTATTTAATTACAAATAGCCTTTACTGTAGATGGATTAAATTTACTATTTTGATTTAAGGCAACAAGGTTGTATGTCACTCGCGTGATACTATTTTAGGCGCATCACGTTGCAATAACAAAGGAAATATGCGCTTGGTTACCATTAACTCGCATGTTAAAATGTTAATTAATGCAACAAGGTCATGTCTGTTTTATAGATTATACGATCTTTTATTGGGCATTGTATGGTTGTTTTGAGTATTGATACATTGAACAAGGTCAAGGCTATCATGGTAGTGAGCAGAAATGTTGATAATTAGTAACTGTAATAATTGAATACAATGTATTTCCTTGTTTAAGATGCATTAATAATATACATGTATCCCTCTAATTAAAGACCACTTTTCTGTGGTCCCAAATTAGTAAATGTCTTTTATATTTATTATTCTAATTAGACACCAAAAGCTAAAGACCATGGAAATAGCCTAAGCCTAAATCGGCAAAGACTAAGAATCAAACGATGAATATTCTGCAAGCTTCTCATCGTCTGTACAAACCAGTCTACGATAACTTACGTTCATTTTGATAATATGCATGTTTTGAGCAACGCGTAACAGCGCCCTCAATTTTATGTTACCGGGCACTACTTGTTTGCATTTCAATACTCAAAGCAGTTTTTGTAGCAATAGTCTTAGCAGAGTGACTAGTAAGACTGTCTAAGTGATAAAGCCGGCTTTATTCGAGGAGTTATAGACTACCAGTTAAGACCGTTTTATAGCAGTCTGCCGCTGGTACTTTGAATTACATCCTATTATCATGCTCTAATAGAGTACCACAGTCACAGCTCCAGGTGGCGCTCTCTGTTGTCAACAGATGTTGGTTACCGTTCATTATGCCTGAATGACTTAATGGGCTTTCTAAAATTAGGCATTTTAAAATCTAATATTTTACCATCAAAATGTACTAAAAACACAAAAGCTTGCATTATATTAGTTATCGAACACGCTTTTAATCATTAATTAAAATTTACAAAGAAAAAGTAGGATACAACATCCTAATAATTACATTAGAATTTGGGATCAATTGTTCGTCAGTGGAGAAAATGGCGTCCGGTTGAACGCATTTTGCAACGATAGCAACGGAGTAGTATCACATGGTATTGTGACGTAACACTGTAATACTCTATTAACAAATCAGCAATTCAGAACACATGACTAGATGTACTATTATTCTGTTGCATATCCTAATCTACAATACCCTCATGATGACAAATTGTTTAACATATAAATGAGACTTGAATATTTTTATGGTCAGTATGCTGGTACAAAATACTTGATGTTTATTGGTTGCAGTGGTAAAATAATTAGATTCCAGAGTATAAACTTTTTACATTTTTTTGCTGAAAGAATTGGAAGCAGTGAATGAGATATAGATTTTTTAAAATTTTTAATATGGGGAAAGAAAAGGGGTTATATCCTGTAAAAAAGAATAATTGTTCCTCCGGAGCTTGACTTTAAACTTTGCAGTACTCATAAAAGGATCAATGTGTCAACCTCCAATAAGTGAAAGCCATGTGGAACCTTAACGTCGGGTGTTTCATTTTTCAATCCGCTCGTTGTGTATTTAATTTCTGTTCTTGAGTAAGGCACTTTATCTGCATTGCTTCTTTCCACCCAGGAGTGTATATGGGTACCTAGTGGCATTGCCTGCTCCTGCGCTGATTACAGGTAGCATCTTATGCATGTGGACCCAATCACCTGGAAAGAGGGCGCTTTGTATCTGAAAAGAAAGTGCTACATCTTGCATATATTTTTATATTGTTGTATATTAACCATCCTGTAAGTGGTGATTTATCACTATTGGTGTGGCGATAAATAAATAAATATAAACAAATAAATAAAATATAAAATAAATAAATGACACATTGAAACAAGTAATTTTTCACTGATTTACCAATCTAAGCAATATTATCTGAGAAGAGGCACTATATAAATAAAATATATATTAACAATAGGTAAATTTAATTTTTTTTTTTTGTGGTTGCATTCTACCTTTATTCATCAAAGAACGAATTATTGCATACAGTATAAATGCACATTAGTAAATTTTAAGAATTGTTTGAAAAAAATGGAAAGACACAGTCAACCAAAGTAATGGCTATATAAAGATACTGGAGAATTTTATATGGTTTGTTAATTTTATCTGTTTATTGCTCAACTCAACACAGTTTATCTTTAAGCCATTTTAATGTATTTTATAGTGTAGGAAGTAAGATTCAGATGACTTTTATTGTCCATTCATAAAACCTGAATCTCGGTTTCTTTTAGTCATACATCTCAAAGCTCATTCAACTCTTTTATATGACAAACAACTACTAACAGGTTTTACAAGTAATTAAAGTGATTAATTAGAGCAAGAATCATTTGACCTACTTTAAATAGCTTGCTCGCACTGTTTTAACTATCGCAAGTTCATTACATTCTTTAAAAAAGCCAGTCACGTCTTGATACAGAAATTAGCCAATCAGAGGGCACGCAGCTTGTTTGTTTATATTTCAATCAAATCCTTGGATTAATGAAAAATATCAGCTATCAGAAAATATTAAAGATAGTGACCCGCGATAAAGAAGCTTTTCTTTAATGACACTTGGCGCTGAACTAAAGCCAACGCATCTCGTTAGCACACATGCAAGCATCAGACGAAAGTGCATTTCTATTTATAGAAACAAAGCTGGATAATTGATGATTGCCGGTGCATCAGGGATATATCAGGAGTACCATGTAGGAGATAGGTCAACATTGATATTAATCGTTAAAGAGAGCATGTACGCATCTGTTTTTATTATTTAGTGGTAGTGTTGGTAACGAATTGTCTCTCTGTAATTGTGTTTGTATAAATGCAAAAATGTGGCAGGCAGGTATTGTTGGATGTCACTATGTTCTGGGATATAATAAATTCAGACAGTTTTGTTTTATACAGTAGAATCCCTATTAAAGGGACACTTTCAGACCAATAATTGTGTCACCTTAATAGCAGTGTCCCCCTAAAAAGTGGTTGGTTCTAGTGTTAAAAAAAAATACTTTCACTCATTTCCTGACTGAAAAAGTGTCCCCTTAAGGGGGGGTCCCCTTAATATGGGTGCCCCAAAAGAGGGATTTTACTATTAAATTTGTAATATAATATAAGATAAATTTTTAATGATCAATTTTACTTACACATTTTCAAGTAATATTTTTTCAAGATTCGTTGAAATTGAATTTTGTGATGGAAATGTCTTTACTACAAATTGCCATGACATCTAAGATGGAATGTCGTCTCCTTCTTTTGGTGATGACTATCAGCTATATCACTGCCAGGAGCTGCTTTTGATGAAAATGAAACCTTTTCTGCCCCTGATGTGACTTATTGTCAGGAAGTCTTTAGGTCTTCGTGGGAATAATGAACATATTTTATATTCTACCTGACTGACTCTGGCGCAGACCTATCGCGTCTGTGTTTAGCTCGCGCAGACTCGGTGCGACAGCAAATCACGTCCGGCTGCGTCGTTCTACGTTGTCTGAGTTGGCCGTTATTGATATCACTAGTGTAAAATCTGTTATTTATTATATACTGTAATATGAATATTGATTATGTAATTGTTGATCCTTAGTTAGCTACTATTAGATATGGAGGATGCTCACACACAGTTGCTGTCACTCGGCGACTCTGAAGACACAGCGTTCTTTGCCGTTTACGACGGTCATGGCGGTAAGCTATTTGCATTTTGTTCTTTACCATTTGCATTAACCAACAATACTGTACATTATGCAACTGTATAGATTTCGTTGGTCCACTTATATAGGGGTATCTAAAAGGAGGAGGGGATTCTACTGTAAGACTTTGAACAGTGGAATATTGTGACTAGTGAATTCAGTTGCTTATATGGTAGCCAGACTGTGGAATAAGGCCTGCTTGGGGAATGTATCATCCACCCAAAAATTATCCCTAGAAAACGGTATGCAGTTCGGAAAATGAGGGCCGATTTCTGCATTGATTTTGCCGAAAATTAGATTCGGCACACCTATTCTTTTCTAGTGATTCTCTGTGCAACTTTGTGCAATTAAAATATTTACAGTATGGTATGTGAGGGGAAGTTTCCAAGCTACAGTGGCTTGGCATGTTGACATTAGCCTATTCTGTTGAAATCAAAATATACGGTTATTACCTACTGTATAAACAATATGACTATAATGTAAATATTTCACCCACGTTTTTTTTCTCAAGTGCTGCAAACTCCCATTCCCCATAAAATTTCTGTTTATCACAGACAAACTAATCCTAGCTAATCCCAGTCAAGCTGATACTTAATCTTAATCTTAATCTCTTCTTCTCTCATTTCTCTTTCTTTTTTTCAAAACCAACATTATATTTAACAAAGTATTATTAAAGAACCCCAGTGATTAAAGTATAGCTTGTGTTTGTCTACTTATCAGCTGTTTATCTTATACAGGGTTTTACAATAGCATGGCTGTGATTGATTATAGCGCAGCCAATAGGCCAAAGGTCAACTTTTGTTAAATCTCTATCGGTGGTAACTTAAGCTGCATCCAAATTTCACAAAAAAAGTTATGTTGTATATTTTTTTTTATTAAACCTGACATATTTCCATTCTAAAAAATATAAGGAAATCTGAAAAAATGGTCCAAATTTCATAGTTCAAAGGCACAACAGGTTTCAGTAAAGTGCCAATCGAAGACCCTTATTCCAATATTTAAGTGTGCTTCCTTAATTATTGTTGGGGGTGGGGAAAAGGAGGGGGCTACGGTAACCCCAAGTCATTAATCTCACGTAAATTATTTTGCAGTTGTTAAAAGATTTTTTTGGATGACGAATCCAAGTGTACAGTAGGAGTTAAATTGAGGCGAGGTGAAGCCCAACCAGTCACTCCTCTCAAATTGTTTCGGAGATAATGACCAAAACATGTTGGAATGTCAACATTTTTTAAATCTATTTTATTGCACTAAACTAACCTACTGTATCTATCATGCTATGTTGTTATTTTCCAAATTAACGATCTGGCGATGGGCTCCGAAATGCCTGAAATCGTAAACTGAAAGTTGATTTCTCAAATACTCATTTTTTAATGCTGTATGAAAACACGAAATGTGGAATTTTCGTGTTTCTTTTACCATTTTATAACTTTCATTTTACTGCCTAACGCTGTGTTAATAACTAAAAAATGTTTATGAGGAGTGATTGGTTTGGCTTGTCTTTTCTTTGTTGTTTTAATTTTAAACAAAAGTAGCCAAATAATCCGCATGTATGTATTTTTATGAATATTATATAAACAGCTTACAGTAAATGTTTGGTTTTAATTAATGTTTATACTGTACATGCTAATACAGTGCAGGTTTCAGTGGAGATAGCCAGCGTGTGAACAGATGTTGTTATATAATATTTCCGGTGTTATACAAGTTATTGTGAAACCACATAGATAATATATTGTATGGACAGGAGTACTAATGAAGCTACTGTATACAAGCTTTGAAATCACCGACACTGTACATTGACCTTTATAGGTCATATAATTGTAACGGACTTTGACATATAAAACATACTTGATTGCAGTTATTAGAAGCAATGGAACAAACATAAATTAATAAATAATTATGAGAACAATTAAATAAATAACTAACTACATAAGTTTGTAAATATATTTTTAAAAAACCTTTAATAGTAAAAATCTTTAAAGAACTGTCAGAAAGAAGAAGTGCATGAAATAACATTTTTCTGGGGAGGGTCCCAGATATTACTTTTTTCCCAATTATTACTCCCTATTCGATATGTAAGGGGCCTACTGTAAATTCACCCCTGTTGAGAGTAACATTTTTCTGGGGAGGCTCCAGATTACTTTTTTCCCAATTATTACTCCCTATTCGATATGTAAGGGGCCTACTGTAAATTCACCCCTGTTGAGAGTAACATTTTTCTGGGGATGGCCCCAGATATTACTTTTTTCCCAATTATTACTCCCTATTCAATATGTAGAGGCCTACTGTAAATTCACCCCTGTTGAGAGTAACATTTTTCTAGGGAGGGCCCCAGATATTACTTTTTTCCCAATTATTACTCCCTATTCGATATGTAAGGGGCCTACTGTATATTCACCCCTGTTGAGAGTAACATTTTTCTGGGGATGGCCCCAGATATTACTTTTTTCCCAATTATTACTCCCTATTCGATATGTAAGGGGCCTACTGTATATTTACCCCTGTTGAGAGTAACATTTTTCTGGGGAGGGCCCCAGATATTACTTTTTTCCCAATTATTACTCCCTATTCGATATGTAAGGGGCCTACTGTATATTCACCCCTGTTGAGAGTAACATTTTTCTGGGGAGGGTCCCAGATATTACTTTTTTCCCAATTATTACTCCCTATTCGATATGCAAGGGGCCTACTGTATATTCACCCCTGTTGAGTACTACTTTCATGTACAAGTGTACAGTAGAAGTGGTTTGGCGCAGCGGTTGTGGTTCTGCTTCTCGCCCTTGAGGTCAGAGTTTAAATCCTTCGCTGTGTACTTTGCGTGTATCCTTAGGCAAGGCCCTTTTCCTACAGTTGTCTCTATCTACCCAGGAGTATAAGTGGGTACCTGGTAGATTCAAACACAAAATGCTCTGATTACAGTTGCAACATTACAGTATTCTCCCAGGGACCTGAGTACTATATGTTCCATATGGGCTTGGTCCAATGACCTAGGTTAATAATGTGAAGCGCTAGAGGTCTCTAAAATGTCCGCTCTATAAATCTACCATTATTATTGCTATTATTATTATTATTATTATTATTATTATTATTATTATTATTATTATTATTATTATATAGCACCTAGTAAATATTGAGATATTAGTACAAGTTTGCTATGTTTGATACCAAGAGAGTAAAGGACCAATAAATTTAGTATTCATTTATTGTCCATGTAAACAGAATATTTACATTGAATTAGCATTGAAGGGTCAGCTATGATTCTGAAAAAAAAAAATATAATAAAAATAATAAACAGTAAAGAAATAGTTTTCCCCCGCTAGACACCATTTTGTCTGGGTTTGGGCTAGAAGCATGTAATATATATTAGGTTATGCTGTAAACTACATTGTAAAAATTATCCCGAGCCAGACACCATGCAGGTGTTTTTGAGTCAAACGTTTGTATTGTTAAATTGTACTATTCCTGATAAAACTGCCTTTCATGAGGCACCAATTCTGTTATATTTCTTATACTGTAATGTAAAACATTATGTTGGACTAAAAATGGATACCATCTCTGCATTTCTATACTAGAAACTACAGCATTTATGTGTATGTGTACTTTAAACCCAGACTCCGGAGAAATAATTTTCTTTTTATATGCTGTACTACTGGGAGGAAAGGGGTGTAACCACTCTTTTTTCCACCTTCTCCTCCCCCCCCCCCCTGCTTTGTGCAACATATGAAAATTTTTTTTTCCAGCGGGGCATGACTGTAATACTAGCTGATGGGTAAAACAGGGAATGTAATAAGTAGGTGTTGCATCTAGCTTCTTAGCGTAGCAACACTACTCCAATGTTGGCTTGCTGTTGATATATCCTGTCCTTAATAACATTTAATAACAGACAGGTGTATAAAGGTGTGCGAAGTCAAAGAAGAAAATCAATCACATGATGTGTTGTCGTGGCGATAATATTGATGAATGATGATGATGTCAGTAGCAAAGTAGATAGCTTTGACGTCTTTGAGTTCACTTTAGAAAAATTAATGATTGACATTTTCAGAATAATCAATCAAAACCAGAGATCTGAATTTGTGTTGACACCAAGCCCCAGTGACCTAGTTGCATATATTAGACCTGAGTTTGTATACCTCTTGTATTATATTTATACAATTATAAATTTTCTTATTTGTTTAAATGTATTTGGAATACAAATGAAATAGGCCTATAGGAGCACATTCTCAGGAGCAGATTTAGAATGATTCAAACAGGTGGCAATACGTTAGTAACACATACTGTAACATTGATATTCCATTAAAATTTTTAAGTTTAGTGGAAAAGCGGGGAGAACATGCCCCCCATACCCCTTACAGGATCTGCACCTGCTTCTTTAGACTAAATAACACCATTTTTTTGGGCTCTTAAATTTTTATCAAAATCTAATATTTATTTGCATTTAAAGTTGCATTCATACACTAACAGTAGCTTCATTTTAAGTAGTAAACTCACGTACTGTATTTAAGACAAACGTGATTAAAACAATTTAAAAAAATTGTGTTTTGCAAGTATAAGTTACCTACCGTTTTTTGATAGTAATTTGTTATTTTAAGCCTTGTCTGACTCTTATAAGCAAGAATGTGCTGCATTTGATTTATATTTCATGCTGGTGAATAATACGCCTCAAACTTTTATTATCTAATGTTGAGGGATATTTTGGCAATTCCATGTAATGGAATTTACACTACAGATCTCTACAAATTTTGGCGTGTTTTTACAAACCCAAAACACTACTGTAGTGTGTGTGTGTATCTTGGTTAACGTTTATAAGTGTGCATAGTGCATACACCTACTATAACTATATCAAACAGTGGCACTTGGAAAAAAAAAACAAACAAACAAACAAACCAACAATATTTTAAAATTTTAAATCTTTTATTTTGGTAACAGAATTACGCAAAAATTTATCATAGGACGTGATAATACATGTTAATATTGTATTGAACTGATGAAAGTATACTATTATAAATAATTGACTGAGGGCATTGCACTATTATAAATAATCAACTATTAGAGGATTTTATGAAAGTTGCATCTCAGCTCTTTAGCGATTGAACTAAACCTGACGCCAAAGGACTGGTATCAGAGGATCTGTATGGTTCACCTCTAGTTTAATCAATTAACCTTGAAGCTGCTCTCTTAACGGAAACTTCCACTAAGCCCCACCCTTGGATGTTGTGCTTATGTCAAATAGAATAATATATTAGAATATCACTCCCGCTCACGTTATAAAATTTGGAAATTATTGATGCGGGAATGAAAAAAAAATTTTTTTTGCCGCAGCAATTATTTCAACAGCATAAAAATAACAATGCAATTTTGTGACTTCAAATGCATTTTCTTAAAAAAAAATAAAAAATTAAACCAGTTTTTATACAATATTTACTATTATTACAGACCAATTATAAACAGTCCCTCTCCCTCATCCATAAAAACAAAAGCGAAATAATCTATTGTTCCGATTAAAAAAAAACAAAAAAAAACCCTTCCTCATCAATTTTTTTTAAAAAAAAGAGTGATAATCTAATAATTTTTTCTATCTGCCCTAAGGTCCTACAGAATGACACTATAAACGCACGCAAAAATGTGCATTTGTGGGACACGCATTTATTCTAGTTCTGATTGGTCGTTTGTGTGAAGGACACTTTGGAAATGTCCACTTCAGTCTTGCATGACCAAAAAAAAAAAAAAAACAGTGATGTATTTAAGTACTAATTTGTAATGTAATTTTAAGTTACTAATGCAATCTGTTGTTTATTCACGTAGGTGCTAAAGTAGCCCAGTATGCAGGGCAGCATCTACACAACAAGGTGGCTAACCAACCAGCATTCAAACGAGGGGACATAAAAGAAGCTTTAAACGCAGCATTCATGGCCATCGACGAGGACATGCTCAATGGTAACGTACCTCTTTTTACTCCTTTAATTATGCACTTGTCAATTCCGGAGTTGTAGGAAAACTCTTTTTTTCCAGCTGCCGCAATTTTTCAACTATAATGGGCCCCATATACGACAGGTTTATTATGATTAAGGTTTCAAAATACTTGGTTTCATGATTTACATATAACGGGAAAGAAGATAAAACTGTGAGTTTAGACTGGTGTAGGCCCCTTTTGAAAACCCCTTGGTTTTGACACCTGTCAGACTGTTTGACCTCCTGTTGGCAAATTTTATTGAGCCTCCACTGCTATCGTTTCATTTTGGTACAGTAAAGAAAAAAAATCAAAATAAAATGAAAGAATTTCCTCATTAATATCCCTGATCACATTCCCTGATCAAAAAAAAAAAAAGCCACACTGTCTGGCCTGAGATACTGTACTTTTTGTATTAAACACACCTGCATTTCAGACCACAAACAAATATATTACTAAATACATCCCTCCACCAGTGACACTGTGCAATCCAGGTACCTTTAAATACTTTACTTGTTACGCTCCTTGCCCAGGGTAATGGTAATTTTTATTTGTTTGTTCCAAATAGCCTACATTTGCTTGTTAATGCATTGTAATCATCTTCTGCATAAATTTCAGATTTGATAGCCAAAGTGAGTTATTATTTATGACGTTTCCAGTGTGCTTTCATAAACCTACCTGAACTGCTATTTATATACTGTAAAACAAGCTGTTTTCTAGCCAGAAATGGTTGACAGACGCTGATTACAGGGTTTTTAATTTATTACCGCAGGCCGCTAAAAAATTACTGGCGGGCTGCACTTCGTCGACCTGTGCTGTACGCGTTAATAGAAAAATATGTAGAGTAAGCTACATTATAGATGTTTTCATGTAAATTGATATAAATTTAGATACCTTATTAGTGTTTGTTCTGATACGAACAGATGTTTTACAAATATGTAATGTTAGAATATTGATTGTGTTGCACATAAAAATGACAAAGATACAAATGTTAGTATTATCAGGAGCAAACGGATTCATGGTTCCTTCTTGAATGTTGGGTTTCGTGGTTTGGAACAAGGCAATAATCTACAATTGCTTCTTTCTACCCAGGGGTTATATAAACCGTAGGCCCAGTGTACAAATTTTGGCTTGTGTGCGCACTTCAAAGAAACCAGTACATACATCTTTTGAGATGAGCAGGGGGTTACCCCGGTGTACTGGTCCAATCAGCCCCTGTTGTGGACTTGATGAGCGCAGCTGGTGCCTGTTTACTGGGTAGCTCACACATGAAGAGACCCTTGGGGAGAAACAAGCTAGTTCACATTTCAATCGCTTTGAGGCCATTTCAGTATAAATCACATTACATTCCACTAATTAAAAAAAAAACTGAGTAATAATGTATTGCGATATTGAGCATCTATTATATGGACAAAAACAAATTGAATTATGATTATTACTATGTTGTTCTATTGTTCAAAATACTGAATGTTTACTGCCAACCAGTATAAATTAAGAGAGGAAACAATAAAAGCATAATAAGATAAAAGTCAACAAATGCAAAGAATTGACTCAGTAATCATTGTTGAAGATTCTTGATGTTTTGTTCCTACTGTAATAGTTTATATCACATCCGTAATACTCGTTTATAAGAAGAGGCTTAAAATAGCAAGTTACTATTAAAAAAAAATGGGGTAGTGACATACAAATTATAGATTTTTAAAATCATATTCATCTTTTGTGTGGATTATCCCTAGCATGCAAATTTACAACTGCAATGAAGCTACTAAGATAACATCAAGGCTTATGAATGAATGCAATTTTAAATACAGGGACATAGGATTTTGATGAACATAAATTCTCATATTAAATGGTAACGTTTGGAAGATTCAGCCTGCGTTTGGCTCCTTTTTGAGCCAGCTAGATGCAGTATCAAGGCCATGTAAAAAGCAGTAAAAAGTATGTATTCCGACGGTGAAACAGAGGGTCTTATGCGCCCAACATGCAAAAATCCTCAAAAAATCTTATCAAACTCAGGTGTCGTCTTATACCCGATTATATGGTACAAATTATGCATATCTGTATAATAATATTTAATTTTACGTTGGTTTGTGGTTGAAATTCATATTTATTTTATTCGGTTCCACGAAAATTATCTGTTTTGTTGACTCAGTTATTTGCTTCAGAAACCATTGCAAAAGGTAAACAATTTAAAGTTGAACAATAAAACAGATAATTTTCTCTAATATCTTCTTTTCTTGAGTGGTAAATTTGGATGCCCCGCCTTTGTGTGTGTGCTACCCATCTTAAGGTGCTATTTCCTAATAAGTTGATTGATTGATTGATCTTTTTTTTTCCAGATGACACAATGAAAGATGAGTTAGCTGGTACCACTGCAATTGTAGTTATTCATAAAGATAATAGATTGTATTGCGTAAGTTACCATCCATATTTCTCAATGTATATACTACCAGTGACGATCCAGAAATTTGAAATAGAGGGGCCAGGAAGGGATTTTCACATGCGGAGGGTCTAAACTACATAGTAGGGGGCTGAGGTAAGAAAACTTATAATTAAAGTACCTCAACATGGGGGATAGGCCCCTCCCACTGGACTGGACTAGATTTCACTGGACTACAAATTAGTTCTACTAGGTTTAAAGTACTAAAAATGACCATTATTTTTTCATTGGAATAGGGATTTAGTTCCACAATCTTGGATTTAGTTCTACATTCCCATTTTTTAAATTTGGTTAAAATTTGATGTTCTCTGATCAGTATTGTTGATGGTCCCCACACTGCAAAACAACACTCATACACTTCCTGTTTCCAAGAAGTGTAGCCAATTTAATTTTATGTAACTTTAAGTAAACAAGTTTAAAGGCGCTAAGTCAATAAAGGGAAATTACTATTTGTATCATCATAGTTGTAACTGCAACAATCAGGTCATGTTTATGCTGTAAAGTCCTTTATTATCGCGGCCCTTTATTTTTGAGATTTTCCAATTTGAAATATTTTGCGTCCTTTTACTTTAGCGATTTCACAATTTCCAGCCTTTTTTTAACTACTGTACTGTATATGTTCTTTTGGCCTATATGATAGCTAGATCACCCAATTTTGGAGGGTATCTCCCAAAACTGTCGTTCAAAATTTTGGGGTTTTTGCGCGCCCTTAATTTTCGCGATCACAACGAAAGGGCACGCGAAAAAAAGTGCTTTACATTATATTTTACAATTTTTTTTTGTTTTCTGTAGGCTAATGTAGGTGATTCAAGGTCTTTAGCAAGTGTGTGCGGTAAAGTCCAAAATTTATCTTACGATCACAAACCGGGAAACGATGAGGAATCAAAAAGAATAATTGCAGCTGGGGGATGGGTTGAATTCAACAGAGTTAACGGTAAGTGCTCAGTCAATTATCCGTTCCGCTAAGCCCCATCCCTTAGATATTGTGCTAAGTTCTAGTGTAAACGTACGTAAACAAATGCGTTTGTGGGACGCGCATATGTTTGTAGAACAAGTGTGTATTAGCTGTCTTCTGATTGGTCAGTTGTTGATTGACACTCCTGAATGGTAAATTAATAACGTTTTAAATGCAATACAGCTGTGTACTCTCTCAAGATTTATGTGACAATTATTTTTTTTTTTTCTCAAAGCCAAAGACACTCCACTTCCAAAGCATCGTGATAAGGAGAATTAGTTTATGTAGAGCACAGGTGCCTAAATATTGAATACAAAAAGATAAAAACAACGATAAACATAACAATATTTTGCGATAGGGAAATTGCCATCAATTTATTTAGATAATATAAATTAATCTTTTTTACAATCAGTTTTCTTTTTCTATATTGTTGTTAACTTGACCTTGAAAATATGTCCATAGTGGACATCAATCTTATTTGTCATTAAATTTTGCTGTTAAATTATGTAGGAAATCTGGCATTATCAAGAGCACTTGGTGACTTTGTTTTTAAGAAGAATGAAAACAAAAAAGCTGATGAACAGATTGTTATAGGTAAGGAGTCAGAATTACCCCCTTTCTGAGTAAACAATATATAGACTGATCTTTCTACCAGCATGTTGATGATGTCCTTTGTTTAAAACATATTTGCTACCTTAACAATAGACCTCCAGACTTCTTATTACTGGGCCCTCCTCACATTTCCACTATAGCCAAACACACCACTATTATATGTTGTCCATGCAGCGCATTCATAGAAGCGGTTTGGCACAGTGGGAATAGTTTGGCTTCCAAACTTGAGGTCGATTTTTTTTTATCCCTTGCTGTGTCCTTAAGCAAGCACTCTATCTACATTTCTCCAGTCTACACCCAGCTGTATCAGTGAGTACCAGCTGGGAGTAACCTGCGACGGACTAGTGTCCCCTCCAGGGTGGCACCTTGTACCCTCATCCACTTCACGCTACACAATCTTGGAATATATAAGCTCCAGCCATGTGCAATACAGTGCAGTCGAACTCTATCAAAGCTTTGCATTTCCATTTTCTATTTGATTTTTTTTGCCATATGTATTTTTGAATCTTATAATACTGTAATAATTGATGTCTATCTGTTTTCTTCCCTTCATAGCTGTGCCTGACGTTATAGAAGCCTCGGTCACGCCAGACCATGAATTTGTAATATTAGCCTGTGATGGAATATGGGACGTACTCACTAATGAAGAAGTCGTGGAATTCGTAAGGTCACGGATAGCAATGAAGATTGAACCAGACAAGGTGGGCTGAATTTTTGCTGGCATTTTTTTTTCTTTTTTTTTCGGTACCACAGGAAGACGATCTTAATCAATTTATTAATTTTTCTGTTCCAATTTCGCAGATTTGTGAAGATTTAATGACGCGGTGTCTAGCCCCTGATTGCCAGATGGGCGGCCTAGGATGTGATAACATGACAGTGGTACTAGTGTGTTTCCTGCAGGGGAAAACGTACGATGACCTAGCCTTACAATGCGCAAGACCAGTTGAGGGAGCTACAACTTCAGACAGTAGTGCGAATCTTTGAATATGAATTGCACAAGGTACAATATTCAGAATATTTTAATACACATTCCTGCCAAGCCCCGCCCCTTGGATATTGTTGCTATGGTCCCTTATAATTATAATATATTATTATTATAATATTGTCACTATTTTATTGCTATTATTGGAAATGATATTGTCACTTTTATTGTTGTTATTGGGTATAATATTGCCTCTGTTTTATTGTCATTATTGGGTATAATATTGTCAGTCTTTAATAGTCATTGGATATTGATATTTTCACTGTTGTTTATAGTCAATTATGGGTATAATATTGCTACTGTTTTTTATAATCATTAAATATTAATATTGTCACTGTTGTTTATTGTCATTCATGCGTATAGTGTTGTTACTGTTTTATTGTCATCTTAGGGTATAATATTGTCACTGTTTTATATTTGTTATTGGGTATAATATTGCCAGTGTTTTATTGTCATTATTATATATAATATTGTAACTATTTTAATGTCATTATTGTGCATAAAATTGTCACTATTTTATTGTCATTTTTGGTCTCATTTCAGCAAGACCTTGATCTGTGACTTCCTGCTAGATTCTTCAGACCAAAGACTATCTCGCAAGAACATCAAAACCATTTTGTAAGGAGCACCATTACGAAAACCACCGCACCTATGCTGATAAGTACATGGTGTATCAAACAGTACATACATTGTCAACTGATTCTAAAGCCTGCCCTCATAGATCACAAGATTTTTCCTGACTCAGGGGAGGGTGAAGGGATTCTATTCAGTTGATTTCAACATGTGAAATCAATCATCTTTATTTTTTAAGTTTGTAGAATAAAGCTAATGCATTATTGATTGTTTACCACAAAGCATGCTGGGAAAGTAATCTGCGTGTTATTTAGATGATGGTTATCGCTTTACCTTACAAAGGTCGTACGGTTCATAAAGTCATTGGTATACATCAAATCGGAATGTATTTTGTAAAATATTTCTTAATTTTTATAAGGCAGCTAAGATGAATTTCAGAATGATACGTTATAAATAAATTAAAATTTTCATCCACAATAAACGTGCAGTAAAAAATATGACATGCTCAGGACCATGTTACTTCCTTCGTGAGACTTATACATGTTCTGTCTCTAACCCATTAAAAAGCTGTTTTACACAATGAATTTTGGAGACAGATCTTTATATTTTTCACAAAAAGTCTGGTGAAAATAAGAATTATTCGTATTGTTTTGCTATGCTCTGTTGAGTAATGTATGCGTACAATATGTGCCGACGTTATCATTCCTTGCGTATTTCTATAGACACAGTTGGTGACCCCCGAACTCCAGTAGTAGTGATCATATGCTGTTTAGTTGGTGTAACAGTGAAAGTATGTGAATGTTGAAGTTTTAAAACAACGCACCAAAGAAAGTGCAGAGGTTCCAATTATCTTGCAAATCGTGCAAACACTACCGCGAGCAAGCATCCATCTTCCAGAAAATAACCCATCTTTCACAAATTCACGATAATTGCATGTTTTTACTAGTATTAACCATTGTCTCCTGGAAGTCAGTGCCAGTTGGTTATCACCACAAACAGCAGCAATATATTTAGATGCGTTTACGAAAACTTAATTAAAGTAGATCTCTCACAAAGTGGATTCTTCCAACTCGTGACCTTTGATAGTGTGTGAAATAAATAGCAAGGATAGGTGATGTGAGTGTACAAAAATATATTGAGCAAACAATTCTGACCATCTCCCGAAGTTTAATTTCTAAGCGATTGAAAATATATTATTTTACTAGCATTCCAAAAAACATTGCTCAACATCATTGGTACTGGCACTGGTATGGACATTTATAATGCGCCTCTTCCTTGTAATTATAAAGCGCAGTTGTTTTCCCTGGTCATTGGGTCCACTTGCTTTAAGTGTTGCTGTTGGTAACCAGCGCAGGAGCAGGCAACCCCACCAGGTACCTATTTATACTGCTGGGTGGAGAGAAGCAATGCAAATAAAGTGCCTTGCTCACGGACACAAGCGAAATGCACAGCGAGGGATATGATGTGCCTCTGAGGCTAGAAAGACTCCGAAGAAGCCATGCATTTTCGCATACTAGGCGAATGCAATATGTACTGTACAAGTGTATTCCGTTGACAAATGTATGTTTATAATATTTTCTACCAATTAAAGATCATTTGACTCTGGGTACCGATTGTGTCTGTTGACGATGGCCACCATGCCTGACGCGTACAGTACAATACTTGTAGACATTGGTCCGCATGCTTAACTAGAACAATGTGTCAAATTTATTCCAATAATTATACCACATTTTACAGTAGTTTGATTTCATGTTTTGTAGCCTATAATGATTTTCACTAACAAATATGATATGATATCGGGATCGTTTGCCTCTTTTTATGATAACTATTAAACAAGCAGTGTTTTTTTTTCTTCAAATTTCGTATGTTGTTGGGTGTTGAGGTGAGGCATAAGATCATCATAAATACGCGCCACAATTTTTGGGACACTGCATATGCCTTAAGCTACGCATGCATGTTGTTTTTCTAGTAGAGAACTTTGCGAAAACCCTTTTAACATGAACAAGTTGATTAAAAATTTACACTTTAAAAGGTTGACAGCACAATTTATAAGCTCCTTATAGTAGTAGGTACTCAAGCAGTCATTGAGAGATGGATTATAGAATTTGGTGTCCAGAAATACAGTAACAAGTTTGGAACTAATGGAGCACTAAATAAGTTAGGGAGAACTGTTTTAATTGTATTTGGACAATATCTTAACACGTAGTAAATGGTAAGATTTCTGAATCATGGAACATACAGAATTGGAGTCTAAAATATTAAGAAACTGAAACTTTCTGACAGAAATGAAGTTTCATCATCATTATTATTTCCTTATCTTTATCGATATTGACAAGTCAATATTTTATTGACAAGTCTTTATGATTATTACAATTATTGTAGTTTGTTATTGTTGCCTTTGTAATTAATGTTGTTTTTCTTCCATGAAGCGAGCCATTGGTTGTTGATTACTAATACAATTCATGTATTATAAATACTGTTAATTTAATGTAATACTTTTGTTTGTAAAAAGAGATGGTGTAAATTACATAGGTCATCACAACGAGGGGTTTCTTAATTGGGAGGGGTTGTTCTACATAAGGAGGGCTAGCTCTAAAAGGGGAGGGGGGAGTTACGATTGAAGTTTAATAACACATTTTCATTTTAAAAGTTAAGTTTAAAGGTTTTTCAAACCACAATAGTTGTGCTAGATTAATGGCAGGTTGTTGCGATCAATCATCAATAGATATATATCAGATATTTCTGTATTTTAGCAGCTAATGAAAGTGAAAGTAATATTCGGGGAAAAAGGCAGATTCTATTTTGTACCACCAATGCCTATTGATAAAGCAATGTATTAATACGGCTGGTGTGTGTGTTGATACAGCCATCTTCTCTTACATCAGGCAGCACCCAAATGCTGTTATACGTCTCAATGGCGAATAATGCTACTGTACATGCTCAGTATAAGAGAAGCACATAACTATTCCGTCCTGTCTCTGATGTGCATTTCGCTTTCCTTTTTATTTTTTGGAGTATTATTAAATCTTGACAATTTGAAGAAGGTATTAATTTTACAAAACACAATTGTGCACTTTGTTTTCAAAAATCCAATGTATACCAGAATTCTCAAGTACTACGGAACTTCCGTAGTTGCTACGGAAATTATGCCTAATTACTTACGTACAGAAATAGACAAAATTATTACGGAAATGTGTCAGGCATAGATCCATAAATAAATAGGTCTAAAGAGCAGAACAAATGACTTCTCCATCAGGATCAATTTTTGTGAAAACTAAGAAAAAGTGGCCTGAAAATCCTGTGTTTGAAATTTCATAGCTATTATTATCCTGTCCTGTACTTTTAATTCAAGCAACCCATGTTTTGCACTCAAGATGAATTATTATGTGCTATGGAAATTTACTAAGGATATTTGAAGACTTGGTTTAATACTGAAATGCATTTTACTGTTAACTTCAGTAGTCTGGTATACATTCGATATGAATTTCACATTGCAATATCGTAACCATTTTCATTATTTTTTTGTTAGGTACTCCGAAATGATAAATAAATGTAGAAATTGTTATTGTGGTTATTATTAATATTTTAGTTATTATACGTGAAGTTGTTTTAGTTTTTAGAGAAAAGAGGAGCTAGTATGTCAGGTATACACATTCACCAGTACAAAATGTTTTATTGGATACTGCATACAAGGCTGTTGTAAGAATTTATGTCACCATTATCATCATTGTTGTCATCAACATCTACTGCTACGACACCCAGCAACTGTTAGGTTATTGTTGGTGTATCTTTTTAATGATGACTCTTAATATTGTTATAGTTGTTTCAACAGTGACCTATCTAAGGGGTCTCGGGGAGGAGACGTAATCCCTCAAAATATCTTGCAATCACCTCCCCCCCCCCCC